TTGGGACGAGACGCCAACATGCCGACACCTAAACAGACCTAAACTGTGATAAGCCGCCCACAAAAGGATTTGGCAAAAGCGAAGGCGCAAGAGATTCTTGCGTACTGCATGTAACGCTCCCATCTATAGGCATTCAGTTTGGGAAAACTGTGCTCAGATGCCTTTGTTGCACCATGTTGTTCGTGTCTTCCGCGCTGCAGGAAGGGACGGCTTCTGTTTGCGAGGAGTTGCAGGCGCTGCAACCGGTCACATGACATGGTCGCTGCATCTCACACACCAACACACATACTGACATAACACCATCAGAGACGGAAATCACCACAATCGAGCTCCACAACCACAAGCACCAAAGAAACGGAAGGAAGAAATGAAGTACCTAAAGTGAGATCCGACTTTCCAAGACCTCTAGCTGACTTTTGGGGGCTCCATCAATCAATTCTTTGGAGAAGAGTTGAACAAGCCGATGTTGGTGTGAGATACACCCGGGAAGAGGTGGTTCCACATGGATCCATCCTAGATAAATGGACCAGACTGGAAGTAGCTTGGAAGACTAGCTTCCACCAACCAGTGGTTTTTGTTCAGCTTCCACTCCTGTGGTCCTGGTGGGTCTGGGAACCGAGTTTCAGAGGAAGTCGGCTGGCTTCGAAGTCGGCTTCTCTCCGCGAGTTCGCCCGGGATCGCCCGAGGCGAAGCTTCGCCGGCTGGAAGGGTCCGACCGAACTGCGCGATGCGCACTGCGCGATCGAAGGGGAGGGAGCAGCAGCACTGTGCTTGGTCATGCTTCGGAAGTCCTTTGGAGCTTGGCTTCGCACTGAGGAAGCGCTTGGTGATCGGAACAGAACAAACAAATCTATAAACAAGTTTTAGGGCGAAAACACCGACGAAGTCGGTGCACATGAGTTTTCTTGGGGATCCACCCCGAAGTGGGCGCCGTGCCAGGCCAAGCCAAGTGACGAGAGGAGCGGAAGGAGCGGGCATTGCAATGCCAAGCATTCGACCGTGGGGGGTGAGTGTATAGAGTGAGTCTATGCAAGGTATTCTACTATAGTGTCAGGCGAGTCATATACCCCCCCAAAGAGATCTTTAAAGTAAATCCCCACTACTAATCTATTGGAAACTGTTTCCATCTATTTGGGGGTCACTAGAACTTATGTGTGGCCTTTTTTTCCATGTTGTTTTGCATCACCAGCAAGATCCAGCAAGCAACATGGACTATTTGGGGTCATATGTTGGTGGGGGCTCCCAATGGCTACCCCTATTCACGTTACCCTTCGCACTTGGATCATGTGGACATATTTAAAGCAGGCATTGGAGAAGGTGAGCTGAGAGACCTCCACCCAGACCCATTCGTTTGGTTCGTCAGCGTTCTTTGACCATGTTTTATGCACTGCAAGCTATAGTGCACCCTTGGAAAACAACAGCAGATAGATGGACACGGCCCTCCAAGCAGCAATCTCCAAATAGTAGGACCGCTGTTACACTCAGTAAGTGGTTTTTGTTTTGCTCAGATTGTTCTTTCACAAGTCACAAGCGACTCGCTCTTGGCGTAAGTGAAAGAAAAAAAAGTGGTTCTTTCCAACCTGTTCTTCCTTTTCTTGGGTGTCGAGACGATCGGACCTGGCCGATGATCCGACCGATCGGATCTCAGCGACGGCTTGGCCTAAAGAAGGGTCCCAAGGGCTGGGAAAGCACCGTTTCTGTGGCCAACTTGATGCCAGACTCCATAGACATGTCACCTGTTGCAGGAGAAAGTGGAGTAGAACTGCAAGTTGTGGGGAATACCCCATCCTTCAGATCTGTGTTTTTTTGGGGGGTGGGTAGGCACATGTAGTCACTCTGAATGCCTGAGATTGGGGACAGTAACAACTTACTTGGGGGGGCTGACCAGCGAAGCTGCCATAGGAGATGATCAGCCAGTGGAGGCAGTGGAGGCTGGATGTTAGAGAGGTTGGAAAAAGGATGACCACGGAACGGGCTGGGATCACGGACGTCACTTAGACCAAGAAGTATTTGGAACAGCAGAAATCGCCAAAGCCTGTGCACACCATCCCTTTGATTTCGCTCTCATCCGTATGGGCCTTCGGAACGTTGAGTTGAGTGGTCTTGATGCAGCGAACCTTGCGAAACTGGACGGGTCCGAAGTCTTGCACTTCACCCCCGCGAAGAGCTCTCCGACTCCACGACTCCGCATCGAAATATGTCAAGAAGGTACACAATCATACACAGGAAAACATGGAAGATCATGGACTTCCAGAGTATATATTTAATATAGAATCATTAATGGAATATACATGGAGTCTGTTCGTGACCATAGAACATATCATGTAAGCGGCAGTCGGCGACCGGTCGCAGACTGCACCCAGGTGGCGGTCACGGCGGCGGTGATCGAGGCCAATGTGGGCACGCTGCCGGCGCCGGCAACCGCACCGGCGGCAGGGCTGGAGGACGGGGAAAAAGGGGCATGATTGGGCAGCGCACATGTGGCGTTTGGGTGGAACATGGAGGAAGCGAAAAGGGATTGAAGGGAAAGGAAGTGAGCTCACCGCCCTCAGCATAATCCACTCCCGTCCGCCCGCATCGACAGCGAAACGACATCGACAGAGCCAGCCAGCAGGGTCGTTGGAACTTCTGTTCGGAGAACCTGCCTGAAACCACGCAGAACTGAAAAAAACAGAACTGAACAATCATCCTGCCTGAAAGCTTGAGTCCTGGAAACCTTGAGTGGGAGCAAATCAGTTCAGTTTTCTCCGAACTGGTGAAGGATGCTGAAGTGATTGCTCGCACTGGCACCTGCCAGGATGCACCGTGCGATGGCGATCCGAGCGGTCTCAAGGAGTCGCCGATGCCGTCAGTTCAGCCGTTCGGAGGCCCAGAGGGAACGAAGAACGGGAAGCCTTCGACTGAAACGAAGTGAGGTCGAATGGTCTCCTAGATTTATGACCTTATGAATCATACTTATGGCAAAAATATTCCGTTCAAAGTTGCTAAGTTGCCTCAACAGAACATTACCGGCCACAGATCATGAACACGTGCTGTTTAATTCCATTTGGCGGGTTGGGTTCCTGGCGTCCTGAGCGAAAACCCGAGCGGCGTTCCTGAAGTGAACGGACAAAGAGTGTGCTGCAGCAATGCCGAGTCATTGGAAAGGTGCCCGGAAACTATTAGACCCGGAGAGTCTCAAAAGAGATTGACACTTTTTGAGGAAACGTTCGCTGGAATAGTCCTTCAAGAGCTAATCAAACCATGATCAGACAGTGATCTCTTCTTGCGCTTGCGCACTGCAAGCACCTTCGCAAAGTGCCACAGTACGACCTTTTTTGGATTTCGATTGATGTTTTTGGTGAAGCCAGGCTGTTCCAGGTGCTGATACTCAGATGAGCTTCCCACATGCATCTCTTGAGCTTGGGATTGCAACTCACTGAGTATAGATGAACTATGAATACATCTATCGAAACGGAATTGGTCAAAGCTGCCTGATATGTGTTTTCTTCCCAGACCCAAGAGCTAAGTGTGTATTCCATACAAGATCTTCAATTTGACTCTGGAAAGTATGTTTGTGTTCGTTTTTTCTTCTCCACCAGTCAAATGCCGTTCAAAAACCAGTGAACAAATGCCGTTCTCTCCTGTTCTTCCTACCATTTTCTGCAGCATCTGCAGCCGGTCGTCCTGAGGCTCAGTGGCCCACCTTCCAGTGGCAGCACCTCACCCCGGCCAAAGGCGGCGGAGAGCGAGCAGAGGGGTGGCGAACCGGGTCACCGGTTCGTTCGATGTTTTTCCAAAACCTGAGACATGTGTCAGACATGAGTGATGTTTCACGTGTCGTTTCTGGTTTCTTTGGGACTGTCGACAATCTAGTAGAAGAATAGGAACTCACAGTGTGAGAACTCATGTGGATCGCATTCAACATGTGTTCCATCACTTTCTCATGCTGGTTCTCTGAGGAAAAAGACGGCTCCATCAATCTTTTTGGATCGGTCAACTGGTGGTGGACATGTGAACACCAGCGGGGAGGGAGTATATACAGGGGTGGTGGCACCTCAGGTTTTACACAGGATGAAATCAGCTAACCCTTTCTTGATGGGGGTGGGGTGACAGCAGAGACTGAGAGGTACATAAGTAAAGTCGTACTACTATATACACTACGAGTACCATAGTAGTGTAGCCATGCTTCTGTCCCTGCTCCTTGGCCTTTGGGAACCAATTCCTGTTGGATTTCTTTTGTAGCTGTTCCACACGATTGACCAGGCTCCACAGGAACCAGCTCCACAGGATCTTCTTTGTGGCCCAAGCCACACCATCTTTGTAGCTATCATTGGCCAAAAACATACTCAGACAGGACCAAACGGGATTGGATTTGCCACATGGTCCCCGTGGCAACCACCGGTAAATATGAGAGTTTCATAGGTCTGCAAGGGACCGTTTGGGGCTACACTGAAACACCTTAAGAGGTCGCCGAACGTTCAACATGCTTTTCACCACCCGAAGCAGGATCTGGATGGAGGTACTCATTTGGTACATTGTCTTTGGGTGCTCCTGCTTTTCAAGGGTGTTCATTTGTTCATTTGTTAAGAGGTCTTTGATCATCTTGAAAGCACGGCGATCGTGTTCAACCACAGATCTCAGGGTCATTGACATGTTCATCGATGGCTTCAGTCTCCGTCCATGTCCAAACGTCCACGTCTGTGGTCGCCCGCTCTGGTTCAATCCTGCCCAGCTTTGGCGTTTTACGTGGACGATTTGTGTCGAGTCTGACGAGTGAGTGCACAGCCTACTTGACACCAAAGGAAAATCGAGATCACATCACCAAGAAGAGCCACTAGGGCAGCAGCAAAAATGACCGAGCAAGCATAGAGTTCATGTACAGTGTACAGTCTGAATCTGCGGATTTCTGATTTGGGAGTCATGCATTCAGATCAGATAGCTGAATAGATCTTCATATTCACAGCCTTCAGCATCCCTATGAAAACACGGACAAGAGCTTTACTGTGCTTTGGCCCTCACTGACCAGTTTTTGGTTTTAACAACGCACATCGCTTCATTTTTTGGGCCATGCACGCGCGATTATCCACGCGTTGGCCACACCAACGCTGTGCCACGGCATGGAAGGCGGGTTGCCACGTCGTCGTTCGCCGGTTTCTTCCGCTACGGCAAGTCTTGGTCCGTTTTGCAAAGATGTGACCAAAACGGATGTGACCAAAACATACCAAAACACCATGTTTGGTCCGTTTGGGTCCGTTTTGTCATCTATCTTGGTCTGATGTTTGTCCATCTTAGACATCTGCATCTAGTTTGCTGGTTGAAAGTCATGCTTTTCTTGGCAGCTGGGTGCCACTGGGTGCACTCACCGGGATGACCCCCTCCGAGATATTGGGCAAATCAAGAGTCAAGAGTCATGTTTAACTGCATGGAGACACTCCCTGAAATCTCGGAAGTGGAGTGAACACATTTGAGTCATTTGAGTGCACCACTTGTTTTGTATTCCCCTAGAAATCCAAGTACCTTCTCAGGTACGGTGATGTGTTCGACACTCTTATGTAGGTTTTGAGGGTCCAGTCGTACCTTCTGAGGTTCGGAACGACTGGATCCCTTAGGGTTTGTATATCATGGTCCTTTTGGGGGCCAGGCCATCCCCACAACTAATTGAAGCTCATGAAGCTGGTTATGATTATTTGCCCTTTGAACGGCACCACTGCACTGGGTCCCGGTGCTGACCGCATCTGACCGAATGCCCCCAAATTGGAGCGACCGGTGAGTGAAAGAAGAGCGAGCACTTGTTGAACAAGCCATGACAATGGGCGTGCTCTTTAACTATCCCAGGCAGATCAAAGATGATCAACATGAACTGATGAAAACCTTGAAAACCACCAGATTGATGCAGAAAGTATGTTTGTTGGGGATTGGGTGAGCAATGAGCAAACTACTTTTAGAGAAGAGAGAGTCATGGGTGAGCCACACAGTTCCTTCAGAGCTATTTGGTGTGAGTCCACTGCTCATTTTGAATCGAGTGGAGCTGCAAGCAGCTGCAGTGATGTCTTCCGCAGCCATGATGGCTCGAATTGAGGCGATTTCAGGTGCCACCGTGGCGGAGCTTGATGCGGAGCAGCTACGCCCTATAGTAGAAGGGGAGAAACCCGTGAGGGCATTGAAAGAGTTCCTCGCAGCTCAGATTGGTCTGGCCAGGTTTCGGCTGAGGCTGCTGGAGGACACTGTTGAGCTGCATGACGAGGCTCCCTTGCCTCTACCGCCAAAGTTGCGGCTGGTGGTTTTGAACTATCAACTTCCTGATGCGCTCACAGACCAGTCCTTCGTTTCTGCGTGTGCAGAGAATCGTTTGGAGGACGTGGAACGCATGCTGCAGGCCCCACAAGATCCAGACACCAAAGATTTTGCCAAGCCTGGTATCACGGCCATGCTCCTTGCAGCTGAGAAGGGCCATGCAGCAGTTGTTCGATTGCTGCTGGAGGCTGGTGCCGAAAGGGACATCACTGAAGCCCAGCATGGAAGGACAGCGTTTCACCTGGCGTCTCAGAAGGGACACGCAGAAGTTGTGCGCGTACTGCTGCAGGCTGGGGCCAACCCAAATGCTGAGGCAGAAAATCGCCGAACAGCTTTGCAATTCGCAGCACGGAACGGTCACACAGAAGTTGTTTATTTGCTGCTGGACGCTGGTGCTGCAAAAGATGCTGCTGAAGCACAGTACGGCATGACAGCCTTGTATGTGGCAGCTTCGAAAGGCCGCACGGAAGCTGTTCGATTGCTGCTGGACGCTGATGCTGCAAAAGATGTTGCTGAAACAGGGCACGGCAGGACTGCTTTGCATGTGGCAGCTTCGAATGGACACGCAGAAGTTGTTCGATTGCTTCTGCAGGCTGGAGCTGAAAAGGATGCTGAGGCAGAACATAGAAGAACAGCTTTGCAATTCGCAGCTCGGAATGGTCATGCGGAAGTTGTTCATTTGCTGCTGGAAGCTGGTGCTGAAAAAGATGCTGCTGAAGCTGAACGTGGCAGGACAGCTTTGCATGTGGCGGCTTTCAACGGGCACACCGAAGTTGTTCGATCGCTCTTGCAGGCTGGAGCTGAAAAGGATGCTGCATCACATGATGGCAAGAGACCTTTGGAAGTCGCGGCTCGGCATGGACACACAGAAGTGATGGAATTGCTGGTGCTGGCTGGTGCAAGACCCAAGATTGAAGAGGATGACATCGCTTCACCGTGAGGCTGTCGCCTACATGTCGCCTACATCTTGTGCAAGAGACACTGGAAGAAAAAGGATGAGTTCCAGTGGGGTGCTGTGGCCCTCAAGTTTGGGGGGTTCATTCTTGGATGTTCTTAGCAGCATGTCATGAAACACAAACTGCAACGCAACGGGTTCAAGCAGAGATTTGACCGAAAACAGCGCAGAAATCACCCAATGGGGGCCTGGAATCTCGCCGGTTCAAGCTTTCACCACGGGTTCACTTGCGCGTCCATCGACTGCAGGATGGACTGCAACCCAACCCTTTGTTGACAGAGCTGCGGCTGTTTGAAGCCCTACATTCATTCGTGCAACATGTATAAGCCACGTACTGCCACATGTCCTCCAGATGTTCAGCTTTGTTTGCATTATACGATTTGATCTATTTCCGGGATGGGAGGACTGACCAGCTTCCGAATCAGCTTCCGAATTGACCTGAGTACACGAACTGAGTGGCCTTCTACCTCTCCAAACCCGGTTCCGGTCGTACACGACCACTCGAACACCCGGTCGTGGACAGCTGCACCGGTCGCGTGGTGCGGTCGCTTGGTGGGCCACAGGCGGCTGGTGCCCTTCAACATCTACGGCCAGGTGCAGACGAAAGCGTCGCATGCCGTTGAAAACACCGTTTTTACCATGTGTTTTTACACCCAAAAAGGGAAGAGGGTGAACCCAGCCAGGGAGCCCCCCAATGGGTCTTCCATTACGGTGTTGTTGTGTTTTTCTCATTATGAAGAGTAACCTGTCCAATCCCGTATGAAGCCGCGCTTGCGCACTTGACTGCTGGAGTCGATGCCTAGAGCTGAGTCGACGATTTGCTTGAGTCCGAATCGGTTGACCCGGACCCTCATGGGCCCCGGAACGGGGTCGCGTCGCTCACATCCTCCGCAACGCGGGTCATTTGGGTTCGCCCTTCTGATGTGTTGAAGTCGGACTGGTGAGATCGATACCAGTCGACGACTCCAGCGCTATCTCGCCCCGGGTGACGGAATGACCACCCCACCCGCGGCGGGGAAGGAGTTCCCACGACTCTCCGCTTTTTACGGCCGGACCGATGCGGAGGATCCGAGCCGCCTGGACGAGTCTGGCGGTGTCCGAGTGAATCACCCGTCGACGCGACCCGTTCGGCCCCGAATCCTATGCAGGGATCGGACCCGAATCGACTGGAGGGGTCTGCCACCTGAAGCAATCTCGGGTTTTGAGGGACCAAGCACGGGCTGTGAACGGAGCGTGTGGGCAAGACTATCTTATTGTGGTCTTATGATCATCTGATCTTCCTGGATCCTGGCATGAATCAAGATGTTCGTTTCCTTCCCCATCCTGATCTTCCACGAATCGCATCAATCTTAAGCTGCGGGCATTGCCGAGCTTGCACTTGGCCAGGGGGCGCCAGAGGTAGCACCTTCGATGCACGGGCCAACACATGGGACACGCCCAAGAAGGTGGAGCGCGTGGCCGCTTGGCAAGGTCGACGAGATCCACCGGAGTATCTTCGCGACGGAGGGCCCTGGCGGTCTCGTCGCGGGTTGGGAGAAGCAAGAAGGGCTTCTGGGGGATTGATTGGTGGGACTCAAAGACATTCCAATGGCATAGATTCATATATAATATATATATATAGACCTGGACCTTCAAAGTGACCGGAGTCTCTAAGTGACTTCTAAGTGACCTCATTCTAGGATCTCAATCTAGGTCACTTTGAAGGTCCTGGGATTCCATATTCAAAGTATCAAACAGTAATTTATAGAATAACTGTTACAGTGGGCAGCTTTGGATGAGTTCTGTCTAATTACTGTCTAAACAACCGTTCTTTTGGTGCAGACGGCTCGTGTGCAGCTTTCTATCCGCGCCACGCTGGAGTGGCAGCAGGATCCAACGATCCAACAGACTAACTAAGCGAAGTGGAGCAGAGCCCGAAGTTGGAGCATAGCCCTGGGTGTCAAAGACCATTCAGACTATGAACATCCCCAGAAAGGTTCCAAGGACAGGTCGACAGTGGTGTGTTGACCCACTGCGATCTTTATCAAATGAGCATCTATGACCCCAAGCTGCAGGACCCAGCGGCTGCGCTTTGATTTGATGGGCCGATTTTGAGCCTCTCCAACTGCTCAGTCCGTCGTTGAGCAGAGAACACTCGAAAACGTTCATCCCCCCAAAACCAAGTGGGGTTTCATCAAAGCATGTCAATTCTCCGGCAGGAACATTGACACCTGAACATCTATTGGTCCCCCATACGGCGGTGACCTTCCAAGTGACTGTTTCCCTGACGGCCTTCACGGCCTGAGTCAGCCTTCAGCCGCCAGACTTGGCCGAAACACCTCCACCTGAATGCTCAGTTTTACTGCAGGTTTGTAGGGGAACTATAGAAGTGTTCTGGGTTGTTCAGGTAGTAAAGATGGTACTTCGATTTGAGTCTGTCGGGTGTCTTCTAATCTCTTCCAAGCTGGCGCGGATAGAACTCTAGCACCATTTGGACCCCAAGGCCTGGGCTGCACGCTTGGTGGAAGCTCGGCCCTGGTTCCGTACACAGCCAGAGGCGGGGGAGATGGCATGTTGGAGAGAGCTACCCTGACACTCCATCTATGGAAATAAAAAATGCCTAAATTGACCCCAGGTCAACCACCCCAATGTATAAGTATATCCATGGTACATCCATAGCTCATACAAGGGAGTGTTTGGCATATAGAAAAAAACGAAGGAAGGCGCTGACAGGGTAAATGACTTGCAACTACAGTAACTTGCACCTTTCTCTTTCGCCACGTCGGAGGCCATGGGCCGATGTCTGGATTTCGGCACCGGCACAGGCGAGGTCTGGGGCGTGGAACGTTACACGAAGTCCGACGTCAGAAGAATATCCCAATTTCTGGAACCTCTGTGGCCGTTGTCCCCCAAGCAAAAAGTCTTTGTATAACGTATACAATGGAATGGGTGCTGTTGGTTTGAAGCAAAACCGTTTCTGATCATACCTGCTTGGACCACATTGCTTGGAGGCTTCGCAGAAGCTCTAAGTTTGGATCAGGACTTCGCATGATTTCGCCAAGATTGCATCACTTTGGCATCTTTTACCAGATGATTCCTCTATTTGGTCTCCAACGAATGGTGAAGAACTCCCACCTCTCCCACTCCCCTGTGCTTTCGCGTTGGGCGATGGGTTCCAGGTCTGCTGGCCTTCGAGTTGCAGCGCTTCTGCCGAAAAGTGGTGGGCGTGGATACCTCCGAGGGCATGTTGCAGGTCATGGAGGCATGATCCAAAAACGTATTCGTGGGAGGTAGGTGGTCTACAAGGTGGTTTGGAGCTGTCAATATTGGTAGAGGGAGATCACTGTATACTGTATACTAGTCAAAAAACAGGTTGTAGTGAGAAGATCCATGTAGATAGGCGCCAACATTGCTGATGCTGGGCTTCTTGTGGTTCCAAGATGGTGTTGTGCCATGGATATATTTGTTCATCAACAGTTCATCAACAGGCGCCAAGCTTGCTTGGCAAGGCTCTGCTGTGAACTGAGACGGTCGAACCTGTTGCCAGGACAAAATCGCTGCAGCCGAACTGCAGTCCAAGATGAGCATTGCCAGAACCTTTGCGGAGCTGATCTTTTTTTTTGCGTTTTCGCGGTGGATGGGGTGGCCAGCTTCCCTTGTGTCAGAAGAAGCGTTTGCCTTTTTTTGACATGGCCGAGCACTCAATGTAGAAATGTTGATTCATAAAACCCATAATTATACAACTAAGCCCCATATATTGAAAGAGATATCATCATCCATATATTCTGGGGTGAGTGATCATCATCAAGCTCTTGTTTTTTGGGGATCCAAACTTCTACACCTCTTGTCCTTCTACATCCTCTGACTCCAAGACCCCCTAAGACCTCCCGTCACCCAGGACGTCTCGGCCCACACCTCGGAGACTTTGATCTCATCGTCAGCGCCTGGGCGGACGGCGCCGAGCTGGGGCCGCATGCGGAAGGGTCAGCTCAGCTCAAGGGTGAGCATTCCCACCACCGACCGAAGATGCAACGTGACCGGTGGTGTTTTTGTTAAGAAACCATTTTGGGATCTCCATCGGTGCTACGGGCCTCCTCTTCTTGTGATGCTGAACCATCTTTTGATCCCATTGGGTTTTGGCATGTCCTTGCTACGGTTTACAGGACCAATTTGATACGTATGTTTCCTGCCCAAAGATAGGTTGCCCTTGAGAGTGTCCGTGTCCCATGGTTAGTAATTGTCAGTAAACGGTTTATCTTCTTAATCAACTGTTTGACAAAATCAGCGCCAGCTGCTTAGTTCAACTTCAGCCAGTCTTTTTGGCTCACTGCAGTCTTTTTAGGGAAGGGTTCGCAGCACAAAACTATGGCATTGCAAGAGCACAGAGCCACAACATTGAACGTTTCAGAGCGCATGGTCTTCCTTTTCTGGTAGCACCACAGCGCTTGCCTTGGAAAGCCGCACCAATTTTCAGTTGGCCTGAATCTTTCTATAGCGGCGTTCAATGTTTGGACCAAAGCCAGCTTCTTGGGACCTGGCAGGTGTGGCTTGATGGAGGGACGCAGGCTCAATTTATCCGGGCTTCTTGCTCCGCTGGCATCGCCGTGCAGCAGTTACGCATCAGCCGCGGCCTGATGCCGGACACGGGAATACATGTCGCCTTGGACCTCCAGCCCTATACCAAAGCCGCAGAGAGCACAAAGACATTCAGCTGGGGCGGGTGCAGCCCGTCGCTGGGCTTCGACCTTTTCCATGAAGACTGCGTCCCCGATAGAATCAAGGCAATCATCATATCACAATGATCTTTTCTGAGCCCAGCCGAGCCAGTGTCGATCAAAGTGAGGCTTGGTGATGCAGCAGCTGACCTTGGAGCAACGGAAAGGGGTAACGAGACTTGCTGCGTTTGGGCTGCTGTTTCAGGTTGAGGCAGCAGACCATGACCAGCGCTAGCTTGCTGCGGTCTGGAGCTTGCACTTGAGGTCATCCCGCCTCCTCTTCTAAAATCTAACAACCCTCATCTGACAGGTGGGGAAACAGTGGTTATTGTGGTGCGATGTTTTGTGCTCTTGCTCGTGGTCACTATATTAGTGGTGATGGACCAATTAAAAAGGTTTTCGCGCTCTCGTGTAGAATCGGCGAGTGGCGGAAACATCTAAAGTGACGCGTATGAGATCGTATGAGCATGATTTGGTGGAACATGCACTGCCTGAGTCAGCTTCAGATTGTTTCATTTTCCTGTTTGCCTTTGGAAGTGCAGATAGTAACTTCGCAAAAGGGTTGCCCACAGTTTTGACATGTTTCGTGCTAGTTGGGCTGTGAAATTGGCACGGCTAGAGCTATGCGGAGCATATTGCTGGAACAGTTTCAGTTTGGGGCGTCGAAACTTGAAGCCCAGGCATGCTGGCCATCCACCACGTGGTGGACTGCGGTCTTCAGATCAAAGAACTTTGCAAACACCTTGCGTTCCTTGGTCTAAGCCAGCATGGTGTCAGAAGTGGAGGACATACATGTGTTTATTAATGGAAGCAAGAATCAAAAATGGCCGCCATTTTGTGCGCACATTGGGATTGTATATGTTCCCCACGCTACAGGGTTTCATTGAAATGGCAGGCCTTTGTTTTTGTCGTGATCCTTTGTGAAAGGTACCAAGCATTCCAGAGATTGCAGAAGTGGAAACCAAACCCACCAAAACACAATTCAACAAACCACAATTCAACGTGATCCAACAATTTTTTTGGGGTGCGTTGGGGTGTGTTTGTTGGTTCCCCCACAAGTTTTCACAAAAAAATCAAAACCAGACCATGCTGCCAGACCTCTCAGGCCCGGTGGCCGCCTGGTGGTCGTCGACTTCGAGGCCACGGAGAACGCGCCGGTCTTCCATCGCTTCCAAGACAGGAGCGCAAGCAACGCGTGCCGCACGCGCGCGGCGCGTTCGGTCGTTTGGCGCGTTTTGGGGAACATGATGAGACGAGACAACGAGACAAAGGTCGTTAACGTTTTTATTTAGATGAAGGTTTGATGTAGCACGAAAATGTAAAAAAAACATAAATCAGGTTTGCGAAAACTACCTTTGGGTATAGTGATCTTAGTGATTTGTGTTAAATATTACTTCTTTAGGTCGGATAAATTGGTTTGATTCGCTTCGACTGGTTTCCAAGTCGATATTTATATCGTAATCGTTTCAATCCATCCTTAATCCCTTTCACCCTGTTCAGGTTCAGGAAAACTGCCAAGTTTTGTTGCTATGCATGTGCAACCCGGGACCCAGCAGTTTTTCACCGGGATGGCACTGGAAACATGCCGCCTGCATCCGCCTGCGAAGTGTTCAAAAAAGCACCACGGTCCCCGTCCAGATGTTTCTAGCGATTCCAGGAAGGGCGACCACTATGAACACGACGGCCCCTCGGGGTGGACCCACGTCCCCGTGGACGCAGGGCGTGGTGGTGGTGACGGTCACAGGCCACATATGTCCACATCTACCCAGCTGAAACTTTCAGAAACCAATCCTGTTGACCTTGTGTTTGGTGGAATCGTCCGGTGGGACAAGCCAACATTATGTCATAGACATAAGTGATCATATGGGGAATGGTTGTGGCACGGCATAGTGTGGCATTAAATCTCTTTGTAGAGTTTCTCTTGAATTCACTAAGTTTGAATGAATACAGTACTTTCCACCAGTTGTTCCCTACAGCAACAGGTGAACTCTGCAGAGAAAGATCATATTCAATCCCCAGCCATGGGCCGGGTTGATGACTCGGGGGTCATCAAAGGGCAGGTCGTCAGGTAGACAACTACCAAGCCGAAAATGAACATTGTTCACGTTGCTAGTCATGGCTGCATAGGGAGAAAACACCTGTCAAAATTGACCTTCAGGTTGCCAGAAAGAATTGTCTTCTTCAAGCTGGTCCCTTTCCCAAGAACTAAGTAGTGAAAAACTGTTGCCTTTCCCATTCTCCTCTGAAGGCTTTTCATATCCGTCACTTGCCACATTTGGCGAGTTGCAACACAACACCAAGAGTTTACTTTGGGAGATTGACCAGCTTTATCAAGTGTTGCTCCCTCGAATTGGATGGGACAAAGCCTCAAGCCAAAGAAGACCTCTGGCTGGGCGTCTGACGCCGACGCCGCACATCGACGTCCCCCATGGATCGGTCGGAGCCCCGTCTCCGAGCCCGTTTGAAACGGTGGGTGGCGGTTTTGGATGTAGTCTCAGACGGTGCTTCAGACCTTTTTTTTTGAGTCCGGGTGTTTGTCAGAGTGCGCTGTTTTATGATTTTTAGTAGTGTTATAACATAATAGAGAAAAAATAGATTTCCTTTAAAATGTATGTTTGTTAAATAAACTATATTTTTAACAATTTGTGCCTTAATAATGGACGATTAAATCATTCTAATGTTTGATACTGTTTTCCTAATTTTGTTGCAATGTTTTCTACTGTATATTCACCTTGTAAAAAATAACTTGTTCTCTCTTTCTCTGTAATTGCTTTCTTCCTCATTATTTTTACCCTGTCTCCCACCTCTAGTGTTGGATACATATTTTCTTTACTTGCTTTCACTGATACATTCAATTTTGCTTTAAACTCATTCTTCTCTTTCCTTGCTTCATTTGGTGTTAGTCCTGTTGCACTATGCACATCTTTATTATAAGTCAGCATTATTTCTAATATGTAGTCAGTCCATTGTATATTCTGCTTTCCCTTCTTCTCATCATTTTCAACTCTTTTGAATGGTTTATCCTTTAATATCCTAAAAATCTTTCAGCGAAGACAGTATGTCCTCTTGCCCTCAATGCCCTCACCATCAGCACTTGTTATACCTCTTTCATCATCAGTATACAAAAGTTTGCACTTCTTTCCCATTTTGTGTAAGCCTTCCATAGTTCCAGCAATTATGGCAGGTGGGGTTAAGCCTTCCATAGTTCCAGCAATTATGTCTGGGGTTTTACTCTTTATTGGCACTACCACAGCATATTTACTCAGAACATCTATCATTACTAAATCCGCTCTAAATTGTTGTGTTGCTTCAATGTCATCAGGTTAAAAAAAACAAAAAACAATATGTCAAGTTGGTAGGTATGATTATTATGAGGTGCTACAAAACTGTTCTGACCTCTGTGTTTTTTCTTTATCTCAACATTTTTTCTAAAACCATATTCAACATCAAACAGTTTTATTTCAGATTTTTTTTTTGCATCTCTTAAAGTTGTTGCTTTACTTCCATATTTTCAAAAATAATCAGTGAGCACTACAATTACAATACTTACAGTATGGAGTGCAATTATCCACAGAATGGCACAGTGTATTGTCTAGTCTTTGTGCTGTGAAGTTTTTTGATAATTTGCCTTGCTTCATTTCAACATAAGGTTTTATTCCACAGTGGGCACAACAGCCATGGAAATGATTCAAACATCAATGTTCATTGATATAGTTGTCTTCATCTATTTCTCTATCAGCCACTTCATCCTGTTTTTGGTGTCCTTCAATCTTGTTTTTAAATATCCTATTATATACTAAATTATTTTGCATCTCTTCATCTGCGTTTTCATTCTGGAAATGTGTAGTCTTTTGTATTTATGAATACTCAAAGCATCTGGTCATATCTGAAATGCCTCTATCTGGTGCAAAATTTCCAGAGGTTTGGGAATTTGGTGGTTCCAAAAACCTGGGGTTTCCAAAAAAACAAAAAAATCAAAAAAACAAAAAAAAACAATTTTCCAGAGGTCTTTGCACTTGGGGCTTCTGCAGAAAGAGTATTGTTTTTTTTTATTTTTTTGTTTTTTTTGTTTTTTTGGAAACCCCAGGTTTTTTGGAACCACCAAATTCCCAAACCTCTGGAAAATTGTATTTTTTTGGTATTTCTGAATTCTGAATACTCAAAACATCTGGTCCTATCTGAAATGTCTCTATCTGTTGCAAAAGTTACAGAAAAACATCTGCAAATCATTGTCTCTATCTGGTGCAAAATTTCCAGAAAAAACATCTGCAAATCAATGGAAAACCGCACTCTCAGGGACACCCGTTCTGTCTTTTTTTTACTTTGCATTTTGGAGGAAGACATCCTGCCTGAGCATCCTAATAAGCACTGCACATGCCCAAAGTTCTGAAGCTCTACTCCTGAACAGACCGAGCCAGTTGTTCCGGACTTCAGTCGTTTGGCGTCGTCGACGTGGCTGCGAAGGCCTGGCAGCGCAAGAGCTCATGACGTGGCTCGAGGACGCCAAGTTGAAGAACTTGGACATGTTGCCGGGTTTGGACATGACATACCCAGACCATACATTATGGGGGTGGTGCCACGGGATGTTCTTTCTGGGACGGCATATCTGATCCCATGGATGGTCTGGGATAATTTGAATGTTCAACCTTTTTACTTGGATTATCTTGGAATGTTTGATCCCACTAACTCTAATTAATATTCCATCTACAATATTACAATGGTGTTCTGCTGTTCTTTTTTCAAGTTGGTTGAACACGGGCAATTGTTTCTTTCTGTTAATGTTGATTTTCTCAAGTTCCCCGTTGGACATGGATCATGCGAAATCGGATGGACCAGTCGATCTGTCCAAAAACCGCAATTGTGCCAAATCCATTTGCAGATCAACAAATCACAGAGAATATCACAGAATGATGTGTTGCCTCAAACCTGGTGAGGTTTTGGCCGATCCACAGAATCATTGGAACGCTTTAGAACTGGCACATCTCGAGACCAAGAATCTACGCCGTCTCCCGGTCTCATGATGTTGTGTGCACCTCTTCAGCGCACGTCGCCATCTCTCCGCGACGTAAACGGCCAAGACCACACCGCGGGCGAGCCAGTTTGATTTGCCTGAGCCAGTTTCATCCCACTCAGGTTGCGTGAGCCTTTTCAGAAAGAGGTCGGTGAAGGCCCGGCAGAGAAAGAGGTTCCGGAGTTCTTCAACAAGAAGTGGCTTCTTCAGAAGCAGCTTGGAGGGCCATGGTAAGCTGCACTAGAGCTGATGATATACTAGTGAATCGTGGAGAGCCAACATGTAAAAAAGAAAAATAGGTCAAAGTCCAGGTCTTTTCCGTGCCAGGCTGGCCCAATGCTGGAGAGATGGAGACCTTCCAAATGCTCATTGCCTCTGGTGAGAAAGAGTCGACTTGAAAAAAGCGGTGAGAACTGGATGATGGTGGGACACCATCCATCAGAGTCACATGAGTGAAGGGTCCTGAATTGTTGAACTCCAAAGCCTTCCAACCCCTTCCAATCTTCGAGCCGCCAAGCCTGCTGTAGCCTATTGTAGCCTGGTGCCCGCTGGTGCCGATTGTAGCACATCCTGATTGGTAGCTTATGTTCGACTTAACGTCAGGTTTGCTGGCATCTTTTGGACTTGAGCCAAGACTCTTGATGGTTTGAGTGGATTTTACTCCAACCGTGTGTTGATTCTCCAAATCCCGCGCTCCGCGCGTTCCCCACGCGCTAGGCACGTGGGCCGCCGCCGCCTAAGGCGAAAGCCAAGCCGAAGGCGCTCGGTGTCGGGCTGCGCCATTGCGCGGTGGGAGGTTTTGGTATCGAGAGGTGCTAGTCCGTCCTGAACCATACCCAGGCAAACCACCGGACCGAGGGTATATAGCGGCTGCCTGTTTTCCACCTGGAATGCCTAACTCTACCCTCATCCCTTTCCTGATCCATGCTGTGACCTTTGTACTTGGCCCATTTTCTCAGAAACAGCGGCGTTTTGAGAGTTAGGGAACTGGGCACACTCCCTGGAAATCAGAATCATCCTGAAGTGGAGTGAATTCACCGCCACAGGTAGTGCCACAGGTCTGAAACAGACGATTGTCATCCCTTCTGACGGTCACACCCTAAAGATCCAATTGGAGCAGCATCCTCCATCCTCGATCCACTGGTGTCGGTGCTTTGGCGCGTTTGGAGCCGAGTTTGGACAGATCCATTTGGTCCAAAAACAGCCCATGCCGAAGGAATTCACCAGCTCATCCCCATCAACTCTTCGAAATTCACTGATTCTCTTCCAAGCTCCCTGAAAAGGAGCAGTTGATCCAAGTCTACACCCCTTGCCAAAGAGACTAACATGATGTACTAACATGGACACCGAAAACGACGCTTGGTAAAGGAACACATAGGAAAACACTCCTTCAGAGAACCATTTGGACCCGGGTCCATGTGTGTGTGTTTGTTTTTTTGTTCGGGAGTGTAAATTAATTTATAGAATCACCCATGCAAAGACCGATGCCAACACGTGCAGTTTCGCATTTGGACTGTCACCACTGGACCCCGACCCTTTGGCATCGATGCCTCCGTCGTTCCAACGTCGTCGTTCCGCTGAGCAAGGCATCGATGGCCAAGGCGCAGGCGCCTCTACCGCCCAGGAGCTGGGGGGAGAGCGGTCCCGGTCCGGAGCTGCGAGCAGTTTCAGGCAAGCCCCCTCCCCACCTCTGGGGCGCGATCTGGCTCATCCTGGTGGCTGGAGGACATGAAAGTATCCCATGAAAGTGGGGGGTTCCACCCTGTAGAATCTTGTAGAGGAAAATGGGTTCTTTTTTTTTAGGGCCAGGCCATCCAATGTGTTTTTGTTTCAGAATGGCGGGTAGGATCGTCCAAGATGCGGTTGGTGATGAGAAGCAGTTTTGAAGGCTTTATGTTCCAGATAGCTTTGGCACTCTTATAGATTTTAGTGTGGGTTGTAACAACGTCGTCTAGTAGACAACGTGGTTTGTTTCCGGTGTGAAATTCATGTGTTGGGAGGATTTTCACTACAGTAGCTGGTGGCGCAGACACAGTCCCACGCAAGTCCGGTCCGTCCACGCCTGACACGATGGATAGTTTGGAGGAGAGTGTTTGGAGGCTCAACGTTTGGTGCGGTTCTTGGGAGGGTCCAAGTTGCTGGTTCTTTTGGTGGTGAATGATTCAGTTCATGGACACCAGACTAATGGGTGTTTTTCTTTTCGCGGGGAACACCGCTAGGCCATGGACCGCTTGCTAGTTTGACCAACCTATCTTGCTCAAGGAGGCGAATGAGTTGGATTTGTCTAGATTTGTTTCAGTCCTTCTCGCTTCAACTTGTGTAGTGTGCTTGGTGTTGTGTGTTGATCCGAGACACATGATGTGTGCAGGAGCAATGGTTTGGTGAACATCAACTGGAAGAAGAAGGCACGAGCTCCTGCTGATTGAGGACATTCATCCGAAGACACCATAGGTGTTTTGGTTCGATGTAAGAAGCCAACAATTCTTGAGTGAAATAACATACTGTAGATTGCCATGATTACCTCATCACACATAGACTCAGGTCTTATGTCT